CTTCACATTTGATTAAGTCCCTTCAACAAAGCTTTGGCCTGGCCTCCAGTTTTTGAAGTTTTTATCAGAGCTTTCTGTTACCTGTTTGGGAAAAAGGATTTAAGAATTTTGTCAGCCAATCATTTTTGGTTCAGGTGTTTCTTCTGATTACAAGATGCTTGGGTACTTATTGACTGATACAGCTTGGTGACTTTAACATAAGAAACATTTGACCAGTGCTAATAGAACTTTTTAAAAACTTTAATATGCTGCATTTCTTTCTATTTCGGGAAAGCTCACGAGTATGATGGATGATCTGCATGACAATTTATACACCAGCAACGCAGTCCCAACTTTCATGATAGGTTACAGAAGAATGAACACATGTTAGGTTTCCACAATATGAGGCCTTTGGATGACCAAACCATTAACACTGAAAATAGCACAGTGGGCTTGACATATAAGATCTGACGAGAATTCAGGTAACAGGCCTTAATAGACTTCAGTAGCCCTAGAGATAAAAACATCAGGATAATAAGTTATGTTAACAAGTTGCCTAACCCCTATAGATTTTAATTTGGCAAGCTCCTACACAGACTGATATCAGGCCTTTCTGAAATGATTCCCCTGCAAGTGCTCAAAGAATCAGGTGGAGATGCACTAATATAATGCTCATCTATATTTGTCATTTATAAGAAAGAGGATTATACATCATATTGTCTCAATGAGCAGAGCTTGTTTCCTGGCTTGCCAGCTAAGGATATATGCTTATCAACAAGAAATAATAGATTTTCTAGTTGACCAGAAATGACAAAGAGCTTAAGACATTATGCTTTTGATAACCATGACAGAAGTGCATATTCTCTTAATAATTTCAGAATTTTTTATGTGATTGGCAGAAGAATTTAAAGTTGCCATATTGTAAATATAGAAAGATTCTAGCCTGACCATTCCATTGACCATGGAACCCAATGAGGAAACACAGATCCCTTTGTTAGGGCTAACCAGGCCTATATGCAGATTGAAGCCTTACAGTCTACTTTCCAGAAAGCAGAAACTTCTGAAAGCTTATTCCCAAGCCACTGACATAAAAGACAAGTTACCAAATTAATAAGACAAGCAAGGACAGCCAAGTGGCTCTCATTTGGACTAAGTAACATGTTGAGACAGTACCTAGCCTCTCAACTAACAGAGATACTCCTTTCCAGGTGTATGGATCTCTATGCGTAATAAATGCATAGGCAGTTCTGGTAGCCAGTCAAAATTGTTTTTAGATGGTTTTCTCATGGTCAGTTAACATTCACCAGTTAGCACAGTGAAACAGACATAAAAGAGTAATAACTAAAAAAGATAAGGTAAAGTGAAAGGATAAGAAAAGAGGAAAAGAACACTAGGACCCCAGAATTGTAACATCCGATCATTAAAAAGGTAATCCTCTAAAGGGTCTTTAACCACTATGCTTTAGTTAGGCATATTGGAATAGGCCTTCACATACATAAGGTGGCCCTACCAGAAGCTCCCAATATACTTTGCCGATTTTGCCCATTGACAATTATCCCATCATGGTATGAGAGCATAGCAGGACTTGGGAAACCTTCGAGTACAGACTATTATGACAGATAACAGACTGGAATGGAATACGCAATTGTTGCTTATAGTGATAACGACAGCACATTTTCACGCACTGTACACGTTTGAGGCCATTGTCTTGATACTAGAAATCTTCAAAGCTTAATTATCCTTCAGATTCTTTTTAATGTATCAAAATACATCATATGGTTTATCATGGCATTAATGAAAAAAGCTTAGATCCACTTATAACTATATCAAACCATAACAGGTCTACCTCCATGCTTTACCAACTGGCTTTTGACAAACAGTATGATGACCATTGTTACCAAATATATTAAATTTCCTTTTATCATTGAAAATCACTTTCCTTTCAAAGAATTCTCATTTAACAAATTCTAAACATTAGTTCTGCAAACTTCTGATGCCTTCGTTCCTACTATTGTTATAACCTTAACCCGATTGCTTTCCATACAGTTTAGCACAAATATGCCTATCAATACTCACAGAAGTTATTATAGGAAGTTTAATGACATTTCAAGATCCAACTTTTTCAGCACTTTTTGTATTTGGAATTTGTCTTATTCTTACTTTTATTTTTAACTAATCCCTCTTGTATGTTAGAAAACTGGAAAGTATACATGTAACTTCATCCTGCAATTTCAGATTTCATATAAAGCATTGATCATTTTTCAATAACCTTGCCCTTCCTCACATCAGTATTGGGATCTCTTCAATTTCATTTAATCTTCCAAAATCACAGCTTAAATTATAACAAACAGATTGTACCAAGGAATAGATAACTGTCCATTATGACAAAATGAGTTTATCATCAAATCTTTAAATTTAAAATAACTAGTTAAGTATATAGTTTCAGAAATTTATTGTAAAATTAATGTTACAATTTTCTTAAATTTCATAAACGAACACATTTTAATATTTTTACTTTTATGCATACAGAAATCAAATTCTCACATTTTTAATACAAAATCTTAAAATTATATGTATATAGTATAATGTTCAAAATTACAATATCCAATACCCACACCTCCAGCAACAATTTCTTTTTAACGCCTAGGAATAAAGAATATGCAATAAAAGCTTGGGAAATGCTGAATTGGATATCTCGGCATACAAAAAAATGCCATTCATGGTAGAAAAAATTTTGAGTCTAAAATTATAAAATTATATTTGCTATCAACTTGAATACCTGCTTTCATTTAAATTATGCAAGATTTCAAAGGTAAAATGGCATTGCAGACAAATACCATTTTGTAAGACTTATAAAATTCTTACCGACCATGAAAATTAATAGATCTCTGGCTAAACTTGTACCATAACAGAAGTTTAAAGGAACAGATTACTCTTTGAATTAATCAGCATATACAATTATGGACATAATATAAAAACTTGGAGAATAAATTAGGTTTCCATAAAGGCAAAACATATTCCATGACCGGAACTAAATTGTACACTTTGGCAACAGTTTGTCCGATTCAAATCTTGGTCCTACTCGTGCTTTACAAATCTCTTACTCATCAATTTTAAATAAAAGAGTTTCTAGAATTCAAAAATATTCCAGTTACTTGAGCTTTCCTGTTAGTTGAATGCTGGATAGATAAGAATTCACCGTTATATAATGAAAAAGCAAGTGTGTGGTAAAAGCAATCTTTCTCCTGAATAGCAGTTTTGTTACACCACTTTCCAAACACCTGCTAGCTAGGGAATCACCATAATGACAATACATGACATTAGCCACTTACGGCCCTTGAGTGGAGGGAATACACTTTTTTATCTAGTTTAACAAAAGTAAAGCTAAGACATTTATTTGTGGGAAGAGATGTTATTTATAATGGTTTTTGCTGTCATAACAGTCAAAAAAAAAGGAGAAAGAATTATATTCCAAAAAGTTATAACACATCTGCTCATCCTAAAATTATATTTAGAGCAACTTATGAAGTTTATAAATTTTATTAAAATTACAGTTAATAAATGATATCATTTTACTCTTTATCAAAACCTCAAATATCAGCAATAGATATCAGAATTTTTTGCTCTGTGAAATGCAGATAAAAACTTTAAAAACCAATGTAGCAATACAATAACTTAATTAGGAACATAGCAAAATCATGATCGGACATATCTACAGATATTTTAGATTTGGTTTACGTAACTTATGGCAAAGCCTCAAAGGCTATCTGCTTAATGGGTGTTGTGTATTTAATTATGGCAAAGCACACCAGGGCTACCTGCCTAAGGGGATGGATGCCTTCATGGAGGACTTTCCAAGGGAAACCGGCTCGTATACACGTTACACATGGAGAAAACCATGAAAACACCCATGCAGCCAGCCCGTTCACAGGATTTGAACCTCCGACCGAACTACCAGTGTTCAGAGACTTTACTGCTTAGCTACTGGTGGGCATCTGGTTAATGGGAGGAATGCCTTTGTGGAGGACCTTTTTAAAGGAAACCGACTCCCATACACATTTACACATGCAGAAAACCACAAACATGCCCATGCAGCCAGCCAGTTCATAGGATTCAAACCTCGGCCAAAATACCGGTGTTCAGCAACTTGGCCACCTGTGGGCCATAGATATTTCAGAAAATGATTGTCATAATATACAGCCAGCTACCAAATTTCATAATGAAAGCTACGAATCTGAAGGTTTTTCATATATCTAAAGTAGAAAATCAATTAATAGACTAAATGTTAAATAAAACTGAACTGTTGCATTGCAACAACAACGTCTCAAAGGAATGGCAAATACCTAACAAAACTTTAAATTCAGAAAATATTACTATTTCAGCTTCAAGTCCAATTTTAACTTCCCAAATGACAATTCCAAAAAACATGTAAATATATTTTAAAAAAATTAATAAGGAATGTTAAATTTTATCATTTCTGCATTATCATTTTGCTAGATTTACACCAGTTTCCTAAAATGCAGGAATTTCCGAAAACTCTGAAGTCAGACAATTAGACCTCAGACTTTACATCTTGCCCGAAATTTATGTTATTTCGTAAGAAACTAGTCTCAGTTCCTGAAGTCACTGCACATTTAAAACATGTAGAAACTATTAATAGCATATGTACCATTAATTTTAAAAATCCTTTTTATAACATTTTAAAAAATGATTTACATTTTAACTTTATTTTTAAAATTATTTTTATACTTCTTTAATAAGGAAAGTACAAAAAATTTTAGCAATGTATAAGCAAAAAAGAATAATTACAATATAAACATTTCATACATTGATAACCCTCATTTTAGAAAAAAATTAAGGCAAAAATTAAGATATTTCTTAAGAATCTCAGACACCTGCTGATAGCAAAATTTAACATCAAAAGTAGCAATTTTATCAAAATTAATATACATACGAATTTGATAGAAAGGTTTATTGCATGATTAAAAACTAATTTTAAAGTAAAAATGTTTCATAAATACCAGCAGGTAATTCTAATGTATAACTCTTGAGAGAAGGTCTATACTGCTTCACTAAAATAAGACAGTCATATTTAAGCAACCGCTGCAATACAGCCAATGAACCTACACCTGCAAGATTAAAAATTTCTTAGTTTCTAAAGTTCATAGTTAAAGACATGCAGTAATGATCATATAAATCAAAGAAGAGGACACTCATATTTTACTTCAAAAGCTTTTACATTATGCAGAAAGTACCTTTTAGAAGTATTGATATTACATATGAAACAAATTAAAGTTTGAAGTTTAATACTGAAATTTTATGGTTTACAGGAGACTGTACCTTAAGCATACCTTAAAATAACATTTACAAGCATGATGTCAAAGAAGCAAACCCCAATTATTATTTTTTTTTTGCAAGAAGGATTAAAGAAATTTAAATTTGTCATTTTCATACATTTACAGAAATACAAGTTTGATTTTTAAATATACTCATAACATTTTGTTTCTCAATTTCAGGCTCACCCTTGTTTAAAATGCATAAGAACTGTTATAACAACTCCTACAATTAATACATACTGGTGAAAATGTTTCTAGCGATGCATAGTAGTAAATCAGCGTTATCAATTTTCTACTTTATACCACAATGCAGAATTATTTCAGGACCTAAGCACTTAAATCAAATATTAGCCAAGTTTAAAGGACATTTATCTTGCACAATTTATCACAACGCAGCTTTTCTTTAAGCCTGAATTTTGTTCTAATATAGTTTTTTTAAGATAGCCACAGGGCTTCCCTTTCCCCAACAAAAAACACTAACTCAATATCTAACAATTAACATCACAGGGCCATTTTAACATCAATATTGGTTACAGCATTTTTTTTTAATTTTTCATTCACATTTTATGTTTTGAAAATTAATACCATTTATCACTTTAAATTCATCTTTTGTAGAGAATGGCAATGAAAATATTTACTTTGAATATTCTAGTGATAGAATTTAAAACATTGAACGAAGATGCAAGCCTGTTTTAACAACATTTCATATTTTCCTTTTTGCCAAACTCAGTATTTAAAACCAGTGATATTTTCTGGCCATTTTGCCACATGTTATGAAAGTAAAATCCAAATTCTGTCCTGAAGTTGCAGATATTAAGTTCTTTTATCTTCTATAATCAAAACATCTCAAGCCTTAACAATGCAATTTCCTAATATTAAATTCATTTTATTTCTTCCCTGGTTATTATAGCTTGCTGCTCATCGAAGCTAATACAAATAAAGATAACAGCTTCTTTATTTTTTTTTCAAGAATGCTTTATTTTGAAATTCCAAAAAGCTCAAACACATGTAAATTACACTTGATTCTTTTCAGAATAAGTGACCAACAGGAAGCATTCATTTAGGTGAGTACAAAGCAAATTAAGGCAGTCAAAGGATTAGATTATTGTAATTTGGCACAAAACCTATCAAGGTTATCTGCGCCAGACAAATGGTAACAGTGCAATTAGTCATTTGTAAAAACTTCCAGCTTAGCTAAAAAGAGACATTACAATCTATAATAAAAACTGATATCTTTAAAACAGGTTAAAGTCTATTATAAAAGCCAACATCTTTTAAAAACAAACAAATTACGATGATGTGTTTTTCCAATTAAATTTCCTAAATCCAGTTCTGAACAATTAAAAATTTTTGGCAAAAATAATTAAAACTGGCATTCCACCAAGATGGCAGTCAAAGGAAAAAGATACATTAGGAAAAACTTAAGTGAAATTGGCTCACGATCACATCAGGTTTGGTTTTATTTGAATGTGACAAAGCATACTAAGGCTTAACTGCCTTGATCATATCAGGAAAACCATAAAAACATAGCTAATTGATAACAGGAATCTAAACAGAGTTAAATTTCCTACGTTAACATACTTAGCTGCAGGTTGAGATAACTCAGGATATTTCCTATTCAACAAGATACACTATATGCAAAATTTAATCAGATGCATAGTCCTAACAAATATTGAAATACTACGATTTTTCTGCATATAAAAAATCACATTGAATTTTAATTTTCACGAGTTTATATTTAAAGGATTTACCTTCACATAAATATTTTACATAAATCCAACATCGAAAAATATTTCAATTCTGTTCTTTTATATATGATAAAAATAACACAAATTTCTAGAAACTTACAATCAGGATTTCCAGGAGCAGGTTTAGAAGTACGGCCAGCAACTTCCCAAGTTCTGAAAATTATAAATACTTATCAGTTACACAAAAAAATTTTATTCTGAACAAAACAAGTTTCAATTTTTCATATTTCCACCTCTTACAATTAATATGAATGGTAAAAGTCTTTTACAAAAAGCAAGTGTCAGCTTTTTGATTTTCAAGTAATACAGGTCTAGTCAAGATTTGAAAAACCTGATACTTAATCCTTTTCATTAAAAACAGCTCTGAATTCTGATTAGATCTGGTTTTATTTAGATTCATTTCTAAATTTAAAATATACACCTAAACATTGTTGAGTTTAATGTAATGGCCACCAGGTACAGTCACCTCTTACAAGTGAAGGCAAAGTTAGTAGCTGAAATAGTTCTGCAGCAAACCTATGGCATGTTTGCTCATCCCACCTTTGTCTCTGCTTACAAAGCACTTAACTTTCCAACATCTTACATTATTAAATAAATTGTGTTATATGGCCTAGCTTAGTATTATTTAGAAGCAGTGACATTCTATCTTATATTAAATGCTTTCTATATAGGAGTAACTAATAATTATATATAGCTTATAATAACAGTTGACAAGGCTATTGATGTCTGAATAACAGCTTTTTCAATCTGCTCAAGAAGAGGTATTTAAACAGCACTCAATAGTTAAATATGTATAATTATTTCAATTTATTTCTATGACCCACCATTCACCAAGATGATATTTACATCATTAAAAGAAAGCAAAAAATATTTCAAAATTATCAGGTAATATATATCAAGTACCAAAATCTCATGACTAGATAAAGGTGATCCTGCCACTCAGGGAGTTAACCCAGCCTTTTATTTATGGTTTCCATTACCAAAGAAGTTTACACACTTACCATAATGGTAGTTTGCACTACCATTATGGTAATTATAGGCATCTGCTGATATTCATTTCAACATTTCAAGTATAAGCTTAACGATGAAATGCAATGTTAAAAATCTAATTCAGTACCCAGTTTACAGACAGTAAAAAATTTCAAGGAAAGGAAAATTCCCCAGTCACATACACACACACACAAACAAAACTAATATGGATTATTTTAGATTACTTAGAAATGTTTTCTCGTCACAATCCTAATTATATAGCTATGAATGGGCATATGCAGTTCAGATCAATTACTTATCAGAGTTATCCAATCAGACTGATGCTTCATATAATAATTTTTGTTATGTCCTTTCTTAGGATTATAGTAGATATTAAACTGAAAAATTAAAGATTCCACACAGCAAAGGAAAGTTTCTATCTTTGCATTAACTTTTTTAAAAGATTAGGCTAAGACATCACTTTCTTCTGTATAAAAGATTAGGCTAAGACATCACTTTCTTCTGTACATACACATACGACTACAAATTTAATGCACAACATACTTGTAAACTATACAGAAAATATTTTTATCAATATGCAACATTTAATAAATGAAAAGTAGCATTTAATTCAACATTATAATTCAAGATTCACAGTTTAAGTAAATTAAGTATTAGTATGCCTATTTAATAACATTTTCATATTGAAAGAACTGACAACAGTTTTTAAATTCAAAAGGTTAGATTTGTAAATTTTTTAACATTTAGCAATGCATTTAAAAATATGCTTAGAAAAATACTTGGAGATATTAAAACAATATTCATTTCTAAATATTTTAAAAACCAGCATATCATAGTAGGTTTGCTTTAAATAAGAATTTTACAAGATTTAAACTTTAAGGCCAAGTTTCTAAACACTAAGAAAAAAGCTTGCTTAAATAAAAACTAAGATTATCAGAAAGACTAAATTCAAAATGATAAAGTCATCTTTAAAATCATACTGAAGCATATATAATACGATATTAAATATCACAATTACCATTATTTACATGAACATTTATATTCCACAGAGTGGCAAGACAACACTGCTTTATCAAAGTAATTTTTTTCATTTCATTTTCTGCACCTCAGAATTTTAGTTTAGCTCCTCAAATCTATATACACTGATAAACATTAAATGTGTTCATCTATTAACAATAAGTATAATCCTAAAATTTTATAAATAAAGTCAAACTATTTTATTAAAGTAAAGATACCAAATGCATTCAGTTTTAACAGTTTCAGTTCATATTAAAAACTGTTGGGAATTTTATTTTAATAGAGGCGTTAAATCTAAGCTCATGAAGCCCTTTCACCACTGCGAGAAGTCCATTCCTCCCCCCATTATCAAAATTTAAAGAGTGTTTTATTAACACGTTCACGGCGGCCACCAGTAGCCCACACTAGTCTCTCATCGGGCGGCATGTGCCACCGATAGTACACATTTGATCGTGTTAGTAGATGGTGAAAATTAAAATGAAAAATTAACATTTATTATAAACTTTTAATAACAATTATAATTAATAACTATTGGCAAACAAAATTCGTATACAGGTCTGAACAGGTAATAATCGCACACTGCCAGATGAAACGTGGCAAAAATTCGAGCAGCTCCGGCATGAACGTGTTAAACAACAAAAAGTATAAAAGATGTCTATAAATTACGAAACTTGAATAAAAGTTTATATTCATAAACTAACCTTAAGTACTGAAAAGCTAAATAAAGGTTGGCCATGTTTCCAAATGGAATTCCACTGGTTGAGAACTTTTGCTTTAATAACATACCTTCACAAACAGACCATAACCAATTTTAAATATAAATTAAACTTTGAACATATATATTTACCATTTATCAAAAGCTTTCAGAAATTTCAAATGCTTAAAAAATTAACATATTTTACAATTCAAAATTATTAAGTTATAACTAACAGAGAAAACTTCAGAAATATTAGCCGTTGATAATAAGCTCTTTGGATATAAAATAGGTATACTAAAAATACATTTTTAACACCAGCTGAAGATCATGATGATCAAGTGTCAAAGATCAGTCTCATTACGATATTAACTCGTCCATCTGCACAGAATCAAGAACTAAAAATTGAGAGAAATATTTTTCTTTAATCAGAAAGTGCCAACTTCTCATGCAAAAGAAAAAGACCTAGGAAGATTTAATTTTCCTTTTTGGCTTTAGAAGATCTATGATAAAGTTAAGTCTTCTGTAATACATTAAATGAATGAAGCAGAAATGTAAGGAATGATAATGATCATGCAAAAATCTACAGTCGCTACCTTCATCTGCAAATTCCATGGTAAATTTAAATTTCAAGAGACCTAATTATAAATTGTTTTATCCAAGATGAGATTATCAAACACAAAAATGCAAAATGTATTAATTTGTTATATTGATGCTCAGTATACTTATTTATAAAAGTTTACTTTGGAAGATCAGAAAAATGACCAAACCCATCCAACTAATAGAAAAAATGTTTTAAATATTTACAGCCAAAATAGTTCAAACTCCAATATTAAAAAACTAAAAACTTAAAAAAAGTTGTATTTAACACATTTTCCTCATTAGCATTTTATATTGTTTAAATTTTCTTTTTCCATACAAAAAATTATCTACATTAAGAAAGGTTTAATTTTCCATGCAAGACTACTGAAGTTTCATGCTCATCAGTTCAAACCTACATAATTACCTCCAATTTGATACATCTTGGATTAAAATAAAACAATCAGGAAATAAAGCTAAGTATGTTCTATGCAGATGCCAACTTTTAAAAAACAGTTCAGTAATCTTACACGACACTTATTTTTATTTAAATGTTATTTACTAAAATACTAATAACATAACATTTAATTCAATAAATGTTATTCAACTCAATTTTTAAATCTTAAATTTTACAGATAATTTCATACGAGATAAAAAATATATACAGTATGAAGTCCAAGATCTGAAATCACCCAGACTTCAGCAATTGCAGATATTTCCGAATTTTAGACCATCGGGTCAAGTCAAATAAGACCACACGTAGACATGGGGATATTAGGGCTTCATTTATCGTTTAGGTCAGATAGAAAAAAAATCCCCCTTCCCCGTCACAACCACTCAAGGGCCCAAAGTATTATGGCCAACATCAATACAATGTCAATAGATATATTATTAGCTATAGTGCAACTTTTCTAGCCAGCAGGTATTTAAATGCGACATGCAGGAAATGAGTCAAGAGAAAAAATGCATTTACAACACAATTTCTTTTGTTAAGCATTACTCTCCATCCCTAGACTTAATAAGCAAAAGGTAAATTTTTTTTTACATGTTGTTTTGCAGCTAGTGGTCTGGATAATGGATATCCAGATTTCAGACTTCGCATTGTATATGAAAAACATACAGAAACAAATGAAATTTATACCTCTCAACACCTTCTTGGTCTTTATATATATAATTTTCTAATGATACAAACTGGCCACAACTTATAACCTGCAAAATTATAAAATTTAACAATACTAACACTTTAAAATAAAATTCCTGAAATACTAATTTAATTTCTTAATGATTTAAGTTTTGTATTATGACAGAAAATATATAATTTTACCATGCTATGAACTATTTTAAAAACAAACTAACATTAACTTTAAAATGCTAATCTGGGAACAAATTAATCTAGAAATCTTTAGTCAGCTGGTTATATATTAAAATATTCATTACTATACAAAATTATATTTCCTAAATTTATTAAACTAGTTTTATTTTCAACTCTTAACACAGAACAGTATTTATCCAGTTTTAAAAATATATATTAAAAAATACCTCTTCAGAAATATGAGTCATATTAGGTTTTGCAATCTTAGTGTTTTCTGTGAATGATTTAGACATTGTGATAGGACTAGAGGATTTCTGTGTAAAAACCTGAAAAAAGCAAACAGTGAATTAAATATTGGCAACTTTGTTTTTATATACTACTTCTAAAACCTAAATTAAAAACAGCACATCAGGAAGTTACTTAAGCTAATTTTGAAGGGGGAGGAAAATGTAAATAAACAAATGAGGACAAAAGGAGAAACTTAAAATTATGATGCAGATAATTTTATAAGAGCCAAATAAATACATGGCTCTAAATCCAAACACATGGCTTTTAATATCTGTAAACATAAGCTTTACCATCATTGAAATTCCGTTTCCAAATTAAAAAAACTTCTAAGAGAAAACGAGTAGCACAAAACTAGAGCTCTCAGTCAAAGAGTTGTTCTTATAACTCTGAGCACAGCTATATGTATGAGGAAGAAGCTGATAAGCTGTCTAAAAAAGGGAATTTTATCTACCTTGAACTTCTTATCAATATCCAGTATAAACATATAGTTCAAAGTATACAGAAGTATACTTTACTTGCTGACTAATTTAGATTGCGAGATGGTAGCTTATCTTCATTTTCAAGGTCATGTAGATTGCCTACTTGGAAGTAAACTATTCAGAAAAGGATATACAAGAGTACACAATATCTGTACATTAAAATTATAAATACAAATTGCAGTATTTGTATCAAAATAAAAAATTTAAAGTATTTCATCTAATTTAGATAAACTTAACATTTTCAAAGAAATAATTTTTAATGTTCAAGAAAAAATAAATTCACGATTCATAACTCGCACAGATCAAAAGCACTTCTCTTAAATTTTAAGTTTTTCTTCTATATACATCTTATTAATGGATGCTTGAAGTCAGTTCCATTAACTGTTTTTCCTTTTGTCAATTTTAGACAGTATTTATATTTACTTTTCATATTTCCTATCAGTGCCAAAATTTAAAAATATACTCAGACTACGTAACACATCCACAATGAGCTTTAGTTTACAGCATGCAAATTTATTCAGATTAATTCTTAGGAAATTTAACTGAAAATCTTGAATAATCTAAAAATTTATTTTCTTAATTACAGCTATTCAAGTCCTCAGGCCAAACAAAATATATACTGTTTATGTTAATGTTTAGGTATGCTTAATGTAAGCAAATATTTTAACCTCCAAGTTTATAATCAAAAGCTTATTCTAATGAATTAAATCTGCTAAAATTTTTTTCACATTACATTTAAAAAACACTAAGCAGCAGAAATCAAAATTCTGGAAAGCACAGGACAGAAATTTAATATTTACAGAGACTGCACAGGTTGGCAAGAAGCCTAGTGTCAGCCTTACGTTTTTTACATGTTAGTTACCAAAACTATTTCCTATAGTTACTTTTCAAGAGACTAATTATCTTCCATAAAATTCTAACCCTTTACTTACAAATACAGAAAAACCTCAAATTATGAAAAAGGACTTCAAAATATATGCAAGTTACGTTTGTTTCAACTGATAATACTTACTTTATCTATTAAAAATTTCAATAGCTTGTTATATTGATCTTTAAGGTTATATGAATATGGTGAAGCACATGAAGGCCATCTACTTAGAGAAAGAAATACCTTCATGAAACATTTTCCCAAAGGGAAACTTGGCTCAAATCCTTATTATACATGGGAAAAATCATGAAAAACCTATCACACAGCCAGCCTGTTCACCTAAACCCCAGCTGGGCTCACAGGATTTAATTATACTAAACACTCTACCACTAGTGCTAATTGTCAAACTTCACAGTTTCAGGGCACAAACTTTAAAAGTAAATTATAAAATACTGAAAACATCAGTATTCTATATCTTGCATAGAAGAAACTAAAATGATGCATTAAGTTAGTAAATCTGTTGTTCAAATAACAATTAGGAAAATAACAATTAGTTGTTGGACTTTTAAATTAACAATTAAAAAGCTAAAAGTACAGGAAAATAGACAAAGTGCAGTTTCATAAAAAATTTTACAGAAAAGGCACACAACCATTAACCACCAATTTAAATAATAGCTTATAGAAAGTAAATATTCAGATTTGTTTTACATCAGAAGATTTATAAAGCACAGATTTATTTACAGTAGATGAAGCAGTACACTTTACGGCTTCATTATCTTCTAGCACTTTTACATGCTAAACTCGTTAACATAAAATTTAAATTTTACATATTTTACCTTTAAGCTATCCAAAAATATGCTTTTTTCCCCAAACCATCAAGTTATGGACATATCCAATGTGAGAAAAAAATCATGCCAATTCCAAGCTTCTGACAAAGGCTATTCAAGATATTATACACTGCGAAGATAACATCTGTCCTAGTTTGTACCATTCCGAATTTAAGGTCATTTTGCAAAAATCGGCTACATTGGCATACTAGGCCTGTTGTTCAGTACATATTTCTCTTTTGTTACAAGATATTTTTAATAGCACAGTATTACATAATTAAATATTATACATAAAGGAAATTATATGTATACATATATATATGCGCATATGGCAGTACATTAAATGAGTACTATATTTGATATACAAGATGTAGCACATTTGACTACATTTAATGACAATCATTATGGAAGAGATTTTTTACACTACAGATATACATAAATGACATTATGCAACACCTATTGGCATTTCACGTGTTGAATTGACATATTTATTATACGGGAATGGACACTTATATTATGAAAGTTAAATAACTGTATGTGATAATGTACAACACTGGGAGAGTACAAATACTTGTATATGTCAAGAATTTGAATAGATCAAACAAAGATTTTTATAACAAGAGTTAAATAACTACATAAAAATATTAAAATTAAATACAGTCAAAAGTCTTTAATCTGGACCTCAAAGCTACAAACTTTCTGCACATGCACACATGCATTTACACACGCACATACCTTAACGCATGCACACATGTTTACGCATGCATGTTTAATGTATAACGGACGGTATAAGGTAAGCTAAAATTAATTATCTATTTCAGTTAATGTTGCAGATTGCGTTGTTCCTTAATCTTCGAATTAGATCCGGCTTATTTTTTGCAGACTGTTAGAGCAATTTTATAAAATAAAGCTTGAACTTTCGATTATGTCAAAAAGAATTGACAATTCTGAAGCTGCCAAAGGATCTACAAAACGAAAGCATGTTTCAATGTCCATTAAATAAAAATTGAAATTGCTGGAAAAAAAAAAAAGAATAAAGGCATGAAGAAAGTGACAGAGGCAATTTGTTTCTCCAAGCATTCCGAAATCTGTTGATCAATTTCCCGCTGCTCTGGGGGGGGGGAACATGGCAGCACGCAATAAACTGGAAGTTGATCTGTCAGCACTATCCTTATCTTCAGGGTAGATGTTTTTACTTTATTCGGCTTATAATTCCTTACTAAATGTAGCATTTCATCTATGTACTCCATCTTTGATATGATTTAAATCAAATTCCTCATTATAAATATCACGAATACACAAATAATTTTCTGGTTGCAATTTTCTAATTTCGACTATGCGCATACTAAAAGAAATGTTTACTTTATTAAACAAATAAATATTAAGCTTTTTGTAAATTTTGATATCATTTAGATCATAATTGCTCTTTATTTCATAAATTATAGTTTCATATTTTTAATTGTATAATTTCTGCATGCTATCTTACCAGATTTAAATTTATGATCTATAATCCAGAAAAACCTATAATCCGGAATCACCGAAGTCCCAACGAGTCCGGATTAAAGACATTTTGACTGAACTCGTATTACAGGAGCTGAAACCTTAATTTAGCTACTTGGGAAATAGCTGCAATGAGAGCTGTTCCAGATCGAGTTTGAGTTTTGTTTTATTGCATATCTGCGAAAAACTCAAAATCAGCAACAATTAATAGTTTATAAACTAACAATTTTATTTTTGATTAGAATTATGATCAATGATCTCATAACAGGTACGATTTTTATTTACTCCAAGTACTGTAATAAAAAAATCTCATAATTTGTTTTTGAAATACAAATTAAAATTATTTAAATTATATATAACTGATTAATTTTGGGTACCCTTTTTGCTTTAACCATTTATAATAAAACATTCCTTATTCCCTAAAAAATTTTTTTAACTGATGTAGATTTTACATTCAGTGTTTACCTTTCTTCCAAAGATTATATGGCATTTTATCTTTAATTTGAATTACATAACCAATTGCAACACCAGCAATATAAAAGTAATTATAAATTAATAACGTTAAAATTTATAAAAATATTCCAATAGAAATTGATGTCCAACAAAGTTAACTAGTGTTTATTTAAATATACAAAGTACTTTAGATGATTTAAATAGACAGATATTGTTTAAATACATATTAGTCAATACTGAAAAGGTCATGGCCCAATTTCAATACAAAATCTGAATAACAATAGAACCAATAGGGCTCCAAGATTTTTTAACTTTTAAACCAAAAATTGCCAACATTTAATAAAACAGTTTCTTCATTAATCCTTTACATTTTCCTTTATACCAACGTTTTAATATTTTCTTTGAATAGGGACCCTACTTTCATAAATTAAAATGTTCTAGACCACATTACTCTCGTCTTCTTCAAAAGCATTTTTTTAACATACATTATTAACAGTACATTTACTCATAAAATACAATTAAAACTTACTTTCACATTGGTAATAAAATAGGAGATTGGTTTTTTACAGTTCACAGCTATTAAGAGTAATCTACCTCGTTAACTAAAAATTCAGTGTTTGTACTCACACCGACGAGATAAATAAACCTGTCAATTCTTGCACGACCATTCCGTCTGGATGTACTTGGAAAAGTTATGAGGTATTTCTTAAATCCCTCTTGTTGCCAATACTAGAGTAAGAAGTCCATAGATAGAACAACTGGCTATATATTTCAGAAAATTTGCCTTTGAAGAAAAATAATAGACTGCCATATGAATATACATAGCTAATCTTAATTTTATTTGTTCAAAATCTAGGGAGGACCACAAAGGCAGGCTTTGAAAAACCACCTGTGGTCAGTAGACTACAGAA